GATCAGAAGAAGTAGAAGTTTGATGAGAAGAGGTAGTAAAGAGATTGGTGATATGAGAGAATTTATGTAGGATGTTTTAGAAAGTTTAAATAAGATTTTTCTTAAATTGAGATGAGCTAGCTTCATGTTGAGATAAAACAGTCATATAAGTAAAATAATAAACTTCATTGTTTTTAGTGATGTATTTTTCATTTAGATAATGGCAATTATTTCTCTTAGTATAACCAATTGGAAGAGAACATTTAGGACAGATATGATAATATATATAAGAAATGATAGATAAAAGAATATTGTTAGTTAAAAAGGAGAGATTAGTTAAAAGTTATTGGACTGGTTTGTTGAGATTCTTTTTTGTATTACTGTTAACATGAACTATAGTGAATTCAGTAGTTTGAATATGGTTAATGTTAGTAGTTGAGATGAATTTGGTGTAGTATTTGCCACAAAGACAAGTAATCACAGAAGTAGAAGTAGGAGCTTGAAAAAAGTGAGTAATTTTGTTAGATCTGAGGTTTTTAGTTAAACAAAAAGTTGGTTTAATTTTAGGAGGAAATGGATAAGCATTGTTACCATTTTCTTCTTTATAAAGGGCAATTCCAAAATTGTTAGAATAGTTTTGATAGAAGTAATCAAGATCTGCAGTATCAGGATCTTGGTTGGTTAATATAAGCATTTTTGAAGTTTGTTATAAATTAAATGAACATTGTATTAGAAACTTAGAAAAATTTCTAATAGTTGAATAATAATTTTATAAGAGTGGCAGATAGAAACAAGAGTTGTATGATTGAGTATTACAGATATAATACTGGTGTGTAACTAGAGTGATTGGAGTCACAAAGATGACTCAGGTACTGGTACAAATAAGGTTTACAATACAAATTGTTGTGTACAATTAATAAAACCAAATAAGAAAGTAACTGATTGTATTTAATAAATTTCTATAAATAAGTGGAGCACAGGATTTTGGTGTAAATTAATAAAATATAATTTAGAAAATGATGATATAGTTACACAAAAACTGTGTAAAAGAAAAAAGGGATAGGGTAAGAACAAAAGGTAGGAAAAAGTTTTTGCAAGAGAGTAAAAGATAAATTTAGTTGTATCTTAGCTGATATTGGGTCAAAATTCTTCTTTCAGAACTTATTTTAATCAGACAAATATGTGCTACAACTTTAATTAAGGGAGTAAAATAAGTTATTGTAGTAGAAACTGCAAGAGAATTAAATTTTTAAAACTGGAGGCCAAAGGCCATCAGTACATTTTCTCTGTGAATTTAAGAGATAAATTTATAATATTTTCAGAATATATGTAAATTAATGAGCTAAACAAGTTTACTAAGATTTCAGGACAGGTTGTCTTAGTAAAATAAAAAGATATAAGTGTTTTTAATAAATGGTTTTTTAGTTGATTTTTGTGTAATAGATTTGCAGAAAGTGTTGTCCTTAGTTTAAGCCTTTGTTATTATTTCCAATTAGCAAAATTTATACAATATAGTTTCTATAGTTGTTTATAAGAGTATTTATTAATTTTAAGTAAAATTGCAATAATTGTTTGTAAAAATAGTGTTGTATAAAATATTAAAATTTTGTATAGTATTAATTAAAAATTTAGAAATAAGTTTTTTAACTATAATATTAAAATAGTATAAATTTAATTGAGAAGATATATGGTAAAATGCATAATAGTTATTAATTTTGAAAATAAGCTCCTTTTGTTGTTTATAAATAAATCAAGATCTGCTTTGTTAATATATTTGAATATACTAGTTTAAATAATATTAAAAATAATTAGTAAATTTAAATATATGTTTTAGTAGGTTAAAATTCAAATATGTTATAATAAAAAGTAGTTAGTATTGTGAAATATATTTTGCTAAAGTAAAAGTAAGTAAAAAGTTTATTTAAAAAGTTTTTTTTTAAGTTAAACTAGTTTCTTTAAGAACTAGAACATTTTATCAATATTATATAATAAAAACTCATAGCTAAAGTCTTAATAAAATTATCTTTATATTAGAGAAAATGACTAGTTACATATACACTTTTTGTGTTTAATTTAAATAGTCTATTAATAGTTCTATACTAGCTGTTATATTTGCAATACAACTATAAATATTGTCTATTTAAACTTTCTGTACTACAATCTTTACTGTATTACTAAAACATCTTCAGTATATATATTAATTAAGAAATTCTAGATACTAACCTATACTCTTAGAACTTCTATCTTATATCATGCAGATTATCTTTAAAGGTATAGTTACTAAAGTCTCTTATTTTCTATATACATTAATCTAGTTTTATGCAATATTCTATAATTATCTAATATTTGCAATTAGTGCTAATTTTAAACTACTATGTTATATTATTTCTATTTTTATAAAGTTTATTCAAATTTCAGTATCTATCTCTTTAATATCTTTTTATTTTCTTTTATTAATCTTTTTTTGATACAGTTCTTGATTCTTTAAACTAACAATTTAGTTATAAAGATAGGGTTTAAGACACAGAGACATGTTATATAACTAAAAGACATGTCTATTCTTAAGAAAATATCATATAATTAGAAATTTTTATAAATTTATTTGTAATTACATATAATAATTAACTAATCAAATTATATAATTTTTTAAAATTATTAGAAATAAAAAAAGCTTTGTATAAAAAAGTTTATAAATTAATAAAGAATTAACTAACTTTTTTAATTTATTGTTTACAAATGCAAATATACTATATTATAATATTAAATAAATTTAAAGTTATACTTATCTAACTACTATAATTTAAAAGTACTAATTTAATAATAAAACTAAATACTAAATATCTAAATGTCTAGATTTATAAAAAAACATATTATCTAACAAACTAATTTTTAACAATATAATATATAAGACAAAAGTATTAAAATATTTGCTTCTAAGTAAAATTTTTTAGACTACTGATTATTTCTAATTATTGTTAAATAGTGAATATTAATTTTTTTCTGCATGCTAAATTGTTTTGGTTTATAAACAAAAATGTAACCTGATACTAACTTTTGAATTATCTAACCTTTTTTTAAATTATATTATAAAATGCAAAATGTAGTTTTAGAATTTATATATTATATTTTTTAACAATTTATTTTATAATAAACAATTTGTTTAAAGTTAGCTGTTATATGCAATGTATATATAATTATATATTTAATAATTAACTAATCAAAGTTGATGCATGTTATGCTGTAATTAACTAATAATAAAGTTTGAACACAATCTTGAATAGGTATACCAAATTTTTTACCTATGTTTTGAACTCTATATAAAGATCTTTATGGCTTTTATCAATTTAATAACATTGTTAAAAGTTTGTACTATTTTTTTACTCAAGAATTTCCAAATAGGATTTTGTTTCTTTAATTCTTTAGTCTTCTGCAGCTATTGGTTTTATTGTAAATTTGTACTGAAGTCTTACAATACTAGGTTTAATATTTATCTTTGTATATATAACAGTATATTTTGTATAAATACTTTAAGTTTTTAATAATAAGTAGGTCTCAGCTTGGTGTATTTAAAATTACAGATTCATAAATCTATCTAATTTATAAAAAATAGTTATTGTAATATAAATATATTTTTAAAATTTTATTATTTAAAGGTTGACAACCTATTCACTTTACTAAGTTAACTACTTTTTTAATAAAGATTTAATTTTGTATAATTTATAATAATTAAATTTAAAGTTTGTAAAATTATTTATTGCTTTATAGTTATATTTAAATTGATTTTCGATTAATTAAAAGACTAAAAAGCATTATGTATTGCATTTTGGAGAGGATCACATTGTCAAAATATAAGTTCTACAGATGTTTTTAATAAAACTCTAGTTGAATGCTTATCAAATATTAATCTAAAAGATTATATAGTATAGATTATAAATGCTTGTATAGTTAAAATATAATATAGATAATAAATTATATTGTTTAGCTAGTAAATTAGCTAAATTATTAAAAGAATTATCAGAATAAGCTTGTATTTTATAAAAGTTAATTTAAAAGTTATAGGATTTAGTTATATTAAGCATAATATAAACTAAATTTTATTAATTATAAACTAGAAATTAAAAAAAATATCAATTCTTTAAGTTTAAAAAATAGTAAAGATAACTAAAAGCATTGATATTAGTTTAGTTTTGTAATAAAAAATCAATTTTTTGCAACTTCTTTTATAGATCACTTATGCTAAATTTTTGCAAAAATTATTTAACTATTTCTTAATATTTTACTAAATAAACCTTATTTATATTCTTAAGTAAAGTTGTTAAGTAAACTTTTTTTCTTTTTAAATAACCAAGTTTTAGGTCTTAAAAATAACTAGCTATCAAAAAAAGTTTTAAAGCTAATATTTTTTGTTTTTTTTTTAATTTTCTATATATTTTATTAAGTAAATATATTTTACTATCTATTTAAAAAATATTATATCAAGGATTTACATACACTCTTTTTAAACCACACATGTTTAGAAGCAAAGTGAAACTAAACAAAAAAATAAACTACAATAGCAAGACAAACAAACTTAAAAAAAGTTTCAAAGCAAGGGCACTTGTTCTTGTTATAAAAAAAAGTCTTTTAAAGCTTTAACAATACAAAAAGCTTTAGCACTATGGCAAAAAAATGAAAAACAACAATAAATGCTGATAAGAAAAACACCAAAAATATAAAGCCTATATAAGTAGAAGTAGAAGGCAATAATTCAGATTCACTAGAACATATCAACAAAAACAACTCTAGCTAAGATGAAAAAGTAGCTTAAGAAACTAAAGAATTCAAGAAAATAACAAATACACATAAGGAAAAACTTAAAGAAAATAGAACATATATGATAAAAAAAAAAATCTCATTGGTAGAAAAAAGTAACACAACTTAGCAATATTCATAGAACAAGACAACAATTTTTTTTACATATAATAAAGAGGTTATTGAAGTTAATATACTTAATAAGAAGCTCCTTAAAATTAGTACATATAATGAGAATAACAACAAAACAACAACATGTAACAAAGAGGTTTCTGAGACTAGTAAAGGTAACAAAGACAACATGAAAACAACAACTCAAAATAAGTCAATGAATAAACAAAGAACTCTATTTTGAAAAGGAATACAACTTCTAGCTCTAGCAGAATAACTGAACTATTAATAAAAAAATAGTCAAGTTTTTTTCCTAAACTTAAAAAAAGCCAGTTAACTTACTCATTCTTTTCTCCTAGGAACACAATTAAATCAAAAAATGAAAATGTTCTTATTATAAATATACAAAGCCTATGATGTTCTTTTAATGAAATTATGTCATTTTTATTTGAAACTGCTAAAAATGACATTATTGCAGCTAAACAACATCTTACTAAAGAAACATAATTATATCTAGAAATCATCTTCACAGATAAAGAAAAACTAAAGATCTATGCAACAAAAGGTGTTAAAATTTTTAAAAAAACATATTTTAGATATGTTTTAATGAATATGAGGAAATTATTCTTGTTGGTCAAAATTAGAAATGTCTCACTAGGCAACAAAAAAGAACTATTAGACTCAATTATAGATGTTTTAAGAATATAAGTAAAATAGTATTGATTAAACCTCTATTAATTGAAGATAGACCATACCTAACAGATCAGTAGGTTATAATTTTTGAGACTATAGAGGATCTATTTTTAGAAGTTAAAATAGCAAGATTTATGTATATTTGGGATAACAAATTATAACAAAGTAGAAGGCAGCAGCAAAAATATACTATTTTTGCAAAAAAGAAGGGCATATTAAAAAGGAATGCCAGCTATTCCAAGAATCAATAACCTCTACCAACAATATCAAGACTTCAAAAAAATAATTGAATTATATGACAAAGATAATTTTGTAAATATTAGATCAAAACAAGAATCTTATGCAGCTAATCCTGCTAACAAAGAAGAAAACCTATACTTGCAAGATAATATACCTATTACTAACTGGGCAGACTTACAAAAAATGATTTAACACAAAATAAACAAAATGAGCTTTTGTTACCTTCAATGGAAATAGACAACAATAAAAGAAACTCTATATTAAGTAAAGATAAGAACCTCTCATCTGACCTAGTACTAGCATTTTGCGATAAACTAGCTGCACTGTATCTTAATGCAAAAGCATAGGCAGAAAACAAAAATATAGATAAAACATTATCTATAATGGAAGTTGACAATGAGGAGGTCCTTATGCCATCTTATAAAAAAAACAAAAATAAAAAAGAAAGAAGCTTACAGGATAAGAACCAATTAAGGCCTAGCCTATACATAAAACAATACAATAAGAAACTGTTTTTACAGACCTAATTGGGTTAAAAATTTTTTGTACATTTACATGCCTTCAAAATTCAAACTTAAAATTGCAACTTTGAATATAAAAAGACTAAATGATCAAGACAAACAACAAAAAATATTAACACTCTTAAAATTATATAATTTAGATTTAATAATGATATAAGAAACAAATCTCAAAAATAAAAATACTAGGAACTTTTTAAAATACCAATAGACATATGACTCATTCTAATTAGGCAAATTGGTAATTCTGGCTGAAAACAGAAATATTACCTTTAAAAATATGAAAATACACCAAGATGAATGAGTTATTATAGCATTATTTGTCTACAAAGGTCTCTTATTTCATATTACTAATGTGTATGCACTTCTAACACTAGCAACAAAGTAATATTTTTGATAACTGAACTCCTCAAATAAAAGAAAATGCAATAAACATTATAGTAGAAGGCATCATCATAATTCTAAAACCTGAAGTAATCAGAATAAGTCAAGCAGTACCTCAGCCAGACCTATCCAGGAACCAACTGTTAGAATTTACAAAAAATTTTTCAAACACTGCAGAAATCACAGGCTCTAAGCATTTTCTTGCATTTTACCAAAAAACACAAGTTGGTAACATGATGACAACATGTTTAGATTATATATTTATTAATGAAAATCAATCACATTTAGTTTCTAAGGTCATCATACAATTTAGTAACTCTGACTATTTCTTAGTTAGTTGCTTACTCAATTTCAACTGAAAAAAAAAACAACCATCTAGCTGGTGATTTGATAAACCATATTTAATAATGAAAAACTTAAAAAAAAGGTTTTTAAAAAAGTCAGTAAATTAAATGCAACAGAGGACTGAGATCTTTGCAAGGTCTACATACAATTGATTATAAGAGCATTTAGAAAGCTAAGAACAACAGAAAGCAAAATCCCAAAACTTAACAATAAAATAACAAAGTTAAGTAAAAAAATAGCTAGTTTATTAAATTCAAAAAGCTTGTTTTTATCTCTAGATAAGCTTAATGTATAACTACAAGAGAAGTTAACATCTTTGGCAGAAAAATGACATATCTGGTCCAAAGTGCAATAAATAAAACAATGTAAAAAATTAACAAAATATTTCTTTACAAAATATAAACAAAGAAAATTCTATGCAGCCTACTTAGAAATTAAAGTTCCAAATAATAATCATCAAAATAATAAGAACATTTTATAGTACATTAAAAAACAATATGCAAAAACCTACAATGCAGAAGAGTTTGACAAGAAAGGAGCAGAAGAAATTACAGAAAACCTTCTACAAGTATATAAATCTAATAAAGGCTTAATCAAAAGAATTATACAAAAAGAAATAATAAAAGTTATATAAAATCTACCAAATGACAAGTCTCCTAAAATAGATGACTTAACTTATGAATTCTACAAACTCACAGAAAAAGCAGTAGCATCAGTTTTGAAGAAGACCTTTAATAAACTCTAAACTCTGGCATCCTTTCAGTCTCATAGTGCAAGAATCTAATCATACTAATTTTGAAAAAATCAGAAAAACTAAACAATATAAACAACTGGAGACCTATTTCACTAGTTAATAGTGATACAAAAATTTTTATAAAGATTATAGCTAAAAGGTTAAATTTAATCTGTAATGATATAATCTCAAGCTACCAACAAGGCTTCATCACAAACAGTTCTATAACAAACACAGCTCTTGATATCTTAACAACAATAAGAGACTAAAAAGATAACTTTAAGCAACATTAAATGCTATTTGTTAATCAGCAAAAAGCATTTGACAGAGTAAATTATAAGTTTTTAAAATTAGTACTAAAAAAATAAACTTTGATCTAAGATTTGTTAACTTAATTTAAAACCTCTTCACTAACCTGGAGGCATATATGGTAGAAGAAAATAACCTGTCTGAATCTTTTAGAATAGAAAAAGGTATGTGACAAGGAGATTCTCTTTCACCTCTTCTATATATATTAGTATTCGAACCAATGCTAAAACAATTAGAAAGAATACTTAAAGGAATTTTATTAAAAAAGCAGTTCTTTAAAGCTATAGCATATGCTAACAATCTAACAATTGGCATAAGATCAACTACAGACTAAGATATATTAAAATAAGTATTTAAAACATATAAGCTTGCATCTAATACAAAAATCAACAAACATAAAACCAAACGCTAGGCAAGTTGGATTATCAAAAAAAGAACACTTCAAAAAGTAACAGAACATAAAACATTAACCATTCTGGAATACATGATTTAACCTAATGAACAATCTAAAAAAGACCTATAGCCAACAATGATCAAAAAGCAAAAAAGCTCTTTAGAAGGCATAGCACAAAGAAACCTTTCACTTAAAGGAAAAATACTAATCTTTAAATCATTAATAATCTTAAAAATTTGGTATATAGCATACCTTCTACTGCCAAATAGAAAACAAATAATAGAGATTAATTAGATAATTACATTATAGATAAAAGAAACCTCAAAGATGTTATCTAAATACTTAGTCTTTCAACTTTCTGCAGACCAACAAGGACTAGAAGCTCCAATTATAAAAGATATGCTTAACACAAGATTACTATCAGTTTGGCTAAAGTTTCTAACAGAAAACTTCTTATAGTCTAAATTCAAGAGAGAAAAGATTACAATGATAATAAAATAAAAAAGAAATATTCCAATTCTACAAGCTTTAAAAAGACTACTAATAAAATCAGCAGCTTGGCCAACAGAATAGAAACCATATATTCTTGTCTGAAAAAGAGTAGAAGGAACAGTCGATGCTTCTACTAATTGGCCTTGGTGTAAAGAAAATCTTTAGCAGAAGGAAAAAAAGGAAATGAAATTTTAGTAAAAAGTCTAGCAGAATTCTTAAAGAAAAAAATTACAAATTCTGTAAATACAAATCTGAAAAGAAGCCTTAATAACTAGTAGTTAGATGTAAAGGCAATAAAAAACAGAAAAAAGATATCGGCTAGTGTCTCCCTTCTTTTTGGTTATTATCTATGTCATATGAGTCTAGAAAAAAGTAGTGACTGTACATAGTGCATCAATGAACTGCAAACTATTAAGCACTTTAATATAAACTGCAAAATCAGCCAAGAAATTTAAAAGCTAGCTTACTCCTTTCTTGATACTGGACAAGCCAAATGTCCTTCCAGAACATTAGAAGAGATCTTTAATGCATTAAACATAAAGAGCAAAGAAGAATTACAGGCAGTACTATGGTTGTATATTAACACAATTTACAAAATCTGATGCCAATATACAAAAGTTAAATAGGAAGAGGATTACCAAACCCTAACAAGTATATTAAATACAATTAAATGTCATTTAAACAAAGAAATCAAAATAGTATAGTTTAGCTTAAAAAAATTTTCATCTAAAAAGAAAGAAAATATATATAAATACTTATATTTCAGATAATAATAAATATTATTAATAAAAGAGCACTACACATGCCTTTGACCTGAGCATCAGGGTTATAATAAAAAAAAATAATCATACCAGAGATGTAATAATCTAGTAAAGTGATTAGGTTGTCAACCTTCCAAGTGTAGTTTGGGTATTCAAATTTCATTAATAGTGAAAATTTAAAAAATCATCTATATAATATTTATATTATGATAACTGCTACTAATAATTGAATTAGGATATCTGTAATGATAATCATATCAGAATAACTGTCAGGCCATGAAGCATTAATATAACTTATTATACAAAGAAATACAAACCAACAAATCCAGTGATGAAAACATTAGATAAATTCTTGTGGCTATATAAATCTGTTAAAATTAGATAACAAGAAGTCTATTTGGGAAAATCTAAATAAAGAGATAACCAGATTTTTGACAGCCTTACTGTAAAGGCTAGCATAAAAAAACAAATACCAAGGTTACAGTACCTAGTCATAGTAGCCAGTTGGGCAAGAACCTCTAAGTTAAAGTTTTAGAAGTATCACCAACCAGACTACCAAAATAAACTAAAAAAAAAAATTAGACTAATTTAATATACTGATAGACTAATTATAGTTTTATATAACTATCTGAATTAAGCATTTGGTAAAAAAGTAGGTAAAAAGATATGGATATACTAAAGTACTAGAGTTATGCTTAAAGTAGATGCTAGAGTCTTTGTAAACTCTACAAGAACACAGCAGTTAAATAATATAGCTCTAATTGCAAATATTGATTCTGTTATAATAATACCTAGATCAGTTATAAAAATGAATACAAAAGACTCTGTAAGTTTACCTTAAAGATAAATTAGTTCTAAGTTTGAAATAATAATCTGGGTATCTGAATATAACCTAGTGAGTTAATATAAGTTATATGTTCAAAGGATTTAAAGTGGAACACTTAAGCAGGAGTGTTAGGTATAGCAATTGGTAGATAAACTCCTTAAATAGGAAATATAGAAAAGTTATATATGTAACCAATTGTATTCTCTTCTGTAGTAGTTCATAGATCACATTACCAAAAAAATCATTAATAAAGTCAAAAGACCAAAGAGGTCACCTTAACATCAAAAAATAAAAAAAAATATATTAAGTAATGCAAATAATTAACTCTTTATAATGATTACTTGTACTACTTATTATAATACAAAACTAATTATTACTCAATATTTTATTAAGTAAACTATTTCTGAACATTTATATAAAGTTGTTTCTG